CACACACACACACACACACACACACACACACACACACACACACACACGAAAAGAGGTTAGCCTTGGAAATCAAAAGGATAAGAGGAAAGGGGAAATGGATGGGTTAAGATGCATACTTGAGGTAATGACAAAGAGTATAGTGACATATTTGGAAGTGAGAAGGAAGGAAGTTGAAGGGAGCTTTTGACTGATGGCCTTGATTTTCTTAATGTATTAAGGGGTCAGGCCGTCTGCTGAGATCAAGGAATATTGAGGGTTTGTAGAGTATGGAAGAGTTTTGGAGTAGTTGTGGGTAGTTCACTAGAAACTTAATATGAATAAAAGCATTTCAGAACTATAGTGAGGTCCCAATAGAAATTAAATAATAGAAATTTGTAGTGGACAGGGTTTTAGTGAATTGTCATGATTTTTATTAACTAATCTGAACAGTCCAGGAGTAAGAACAGAACTAACAGACAGTGGTAGTAATCATAATTTGGGGATTAGCAACATGAACATGGCAGAATGTCAAAAGGCTAAGAGACCGTATGGTGCTAAGAAGTCAAAATTGAAGATAGTGTGTGGATCAACCTGGATGAACAAACAAGAGCCAAAAAGGGATTGATAGACTGGGAGATTAGGGAGTGGTTGAAAGAACAGAGACATCAGTAATGTAAAAAAGCACGTTCAGTTGATTTGAAAGAATGGAGGAGACAAAAGGTTGAACAGGAGCTTAGGGTTTGGGAGTATAGCATTTTTGAGTGATGATGGAAAAGTGTCCATGTGTGCTAGAAGTAAAATGCAGGTGAAAGTCTTTAAATTTGAAGAAATTAAGGAACCTTGAGTTCTCAGTGTTAGATTATCAGGGTAAACGTTGAAGTTGCTGAGCATGTTGACAGGATTCTAGGTGGAAGAGAAAACTATAAGCTGGTTGTCAAGGTGGTAAATGAAGGTGAATGACTGTCCCGGAGGATAATGATAGAGATGTATAGAAGGTCGCGTAAGTGGATGATAGGAACTTCAGAAAGGAGACTTAGCTAAGTGATGTTCCAGGAGAAGAAGAGGGTATCATAGATCAGGCCAACCCTTTCTTTTCTAGTAAGGCCTGGGGAATGGGAGAAGGAATGAACTCCATTGGAAAGGACTATGGGGAAAGTTGTGTTTTAGGAAGCCGGGTTTCAGTTAAGAGTGATATTGTAGGGGATTAAGTTTGGAAAAACTTGAGAATGTAAGAGAATCTGATCAGCGTAAAGTAGGGCATAATATAATGATATTAGTAGCAGTAACAATAATAATAATAATAATAATAACTGACAGTTTTTGAAGGTTTGCAGAGTGGTTTACATACATTATTTCATTTGTTCTTTAGAATAATCCCCTGAAATAGATAATATTATCCCATTTTCCAGAGGGTGAAACTGAGAAGTTTCAGTGACTTTGCCCAAAATCACACAGCTAGTAAATATCTAAGGCAAAATTTGAACTCAGGTCTTCCTAAGTAAGAGAGGCAGCTAGGTAGAAAGTGGGAACTGAGCTACAAAGGAATGAGAATAAAGGAAAAATTGTCACTAGGAAGGAGTTTACAGCTATGAAAGTAGTTTGAGATACATCAGGGATCTGTGAAAGCAAGAGTTTAAAATTTAGGCAAGAGACATATGTTACTAGCAGGGAAAGATAGGCTTATAACTTTTGTCTTCTGAGAAATTCCATAGAGGGACTCATGGATTAAAGGGTTTTGTTTGTTGAAAAAAATACATATGTATTTACTCACAACAAATTGGACTTTGACCCTTCTCCTCCCCTCTCCCCCCCAGATGCTGTGTCTATATAAATATTACATTGTGGTTAATTTTTAAAGTTAGCTGTTTTGAAAAATCTTCCAACTTCAGGTTTAATGATAAAGATAATGGATTCCTTCAAAGTGTTAGAAGATATAAGTAGATATAAATTCCTTCCTACACATAAAGTATATAACCAGTCCTTTCAGAAAATATTCAGAAACTGATTTTGCAGATATCATTATGGTCTGGTGCCAGATACTGAGATCTTTAGGAATATTTAGTTTCATCTTGTAACTTAAATTGTAACTGTGATGGTACTGTCACTCACGTAAACACTATTAGATTGTAAACTTAAGGACAGTGAACATAAATACCTGTCTCCCTAAGACCAGCATAGTGTCCTGTATATATTAAATACTCAACAAATGTTGATTGACCTGGAAAATGAGAGGGTTGGTCTATTTGGAGCCACTATCAAGATCTAAAATTCTGTGGCTCCCAACAACTGTGAATTTTCTTTTAATTGGATAGGCTTTTATGTCCTTTTTGTGACTGTTTTCAAGATTTTTTGCCTCTAGGTGGTGCTGTAGATTATATAACTAAGTGGTCAGGTTATCTCTAGGTTTGATACTAAGATTTTATGTAATCTGTGCTTCTTATTCCTTCTTATAAAAAATAATTCTTTATCAGTTAAAAAACTGACTGAGAATAATAAGAATATAAACAGCTAGATTTTATGTAGAAAACTTGAAGCACATTTAAGGCACCCTCTCTGTCACCGACCTCATATTTTAAACCTCTAATTCTAATGTAGTTGGTAGAATCAGTAATGATGATTGTATTTGCTCCTACAAGGGTAGTTATTATTCAGATAAAACAATAGAATTTTCTTCATATTTTTCTCTTGAAAAATAAAACAAGCCAGCTCACAGTCAAAATCATAGTGACCCTCTGGCTCAAGAATGGCTTTTTGTCCATTAAAGAGAAGTTTGTCATCATACTGCTGGAGGTGAGGGAAAGAAGAAGAAAAAAGTAATATCAATCTGATTGGCACTACTCATCACTTGACTCATTTTATTCCCAGTCTACTCATTGCTGTACAATGCCAGATAACGGAAATCCTGAACATCTTTGTAATTGAGCTCATATGTTAAGGACAATTTTTTTAAAAGAAATAATCAATCTTTTCTATTTAAATATCATGAAATACTTTTTTAAACATGAAGGATTGTCAGCATATTATAAAATCAGATATACTTCCTTCCAATGATGATATTTTTCTAGGCCTGAACTAGCAGAATAGTAAAAGGTATTTGGCAAAGGTTGTGACACAGGTAACCAGCTTTTCTCAACTCCTACAATTTTTTACCTAAATAGACACTATTAGGTGGCCTGAATTTTAGAGGAACAGTTTTCTTTATGTAATATTTAACTTCATGAAATCTAGCAGGCAATTGGAAAATACAAAGTTCTGCCTTCTAGAAATTCTTACTGTCTTTTTATTATAAACAGGTATTTTAATTTATTCAGAAATATTTATTCAACACCAGTTTTGTCCAAGTTACTATCCTCTAATAATTATTGGAGACACAAAGATGAACATGACTCGACCCTTGCCTTTGTATGGCTCACAGTCTAGTTATAACTGTTTGAAAAGTTGCAATTTAAAAGTGATATATGATAGGTGCAGTGCTTTAGGGGTTCGGAGAAGCAGAGATTATTATTGGAGAAAGGTTGCACGCGTTTGTGTTCAGTATTGCAAAATGGATAGAATTGAACAACTAGAGAAGAGGAAAAAGGACATTTCAAGCAGAGGGAAAAATGTAAGAAGCAGATGGCAAAAAATGGGTGCAGGCAGTAGACTAATTTGGAGCTAAGGGGATACTAAAATATAAAGCTAGATTCACAAACTGTTAGAGTAGAAAAGAACCTTAGAGATATTCTATCACTACTACGTGTCAAGCACTATGCTAGGTGATGGATATACAAAGACAAAACCAGTTACTGCTCTCAAGGAATATATGTTCTCTGGGAATACTATATGTCACAATCATAGAAAATTAAGTACAAAATATATGCAGAGTAATTTGGGGAAAAGGGGAAGAGTCTCATTTGAATGGAATGTCAAGTATGTGAGTAAGAATAATGTGCAAAAAGTTACACTGGAGCCAGATTGTGAAGGACTTTAAAGACAAGGGAAATTTCTCTTTTGTCCTAGATGCAAGAGGGAGCTTTTGGATTTTCTTGAGTAGGAAAGTGACATGGTCATAACTATATTTTAGGAATATTAATTTGGAAGTGAATTATAGATGGCAGACCAGTTAGGAGGCTATTGCATTTGTCCAGGTAAAAGGTGATGAGGACCAGAATTGTTTTGTGATAAAGAGAATGAAACTGATGGCAAGATAATTTTTGGAGAACAATATCAGTTAACTGAGTGAGAGTGAACAAGAAAGAGGTAAGGAGGAATTTGAGGATGTGAACCTGAGTGACTAGAAAGAAGGATGAAGGTGCCCTTAACATAAGCAAAGAAGTCATAAAGTGAAGAAGGTTTAGGGGAGGAAAGATAATGAGCTCTTTCTGGATGTTGAGTTTGTGAATGGGCAGAAAGAAAATAATAATAACATTAAGTGCACTGGGGATACACATAGAAAATCAGTATAGTCCCTGTTCTCAAAGACAGAAAATATAGGAGGATAGAACATGGAGGAGGATTCAGCTGCAGGGTAGATGGAGAGGCCCTCAAGGGCACAGCAGCAAGGCAAATGGTAACTTCTTTATTTTTGTTGGAGACACTTACTATTCTTCTAGTCACTCAGATTCATAGCCTAAGAACTAGTCTTGACTCTTCTTTCTCACTTACCCACCCCTTCTTTCACCCTCATTTGTATTCCCTTAGTTGTCAAGTCTCATCAGTCCTACCTTCTCTGAATCTCTTACATCTGTCCCCTTCTTTCTGTTCACGTATGCACCACCCTAATTCAGGCCCTTATCATTTCTTACCTAGTCTATTAGAGTCACTTCTGATTGAGCTTTCCCAGCTTGCAGTTCTTCCCCACTGCAATCCATTCTCCACCCAGCTGTCAAATTGATAGTCCTAAAATACAGATGTGACAATCGCTTTCCTACTCAATGAACTTCAGTGGTTCTCTGCTGCCTCAAAGATGAAATACAGACTCCTTGTTTGACACTTCAAAACCCTTTACAATCTGATTCCAAACTACATCTCCTGACTGAATATTCATTCCTCTCACTCATGCACTGTATATTCAGGCTAGGCTGGTGTGCTTGCTTTTCCTGGTACATGATGTTCTGTCTTCTATCCCGGCTTTGCGTGGCTGGAATGTGCCTTCGTCCCCTCTGCCCCTTGAAATCTCTGGTCTCTTCAAGGCTCCGCTCAGGTACCACCTTTTTCAAGAGGTCTGAGCTCTTCTTCATTTGTGTGTGGACATGTATCCCCTGGTAAAATCTAAGTTCCCTGAGGGTAGGAACCATTTTGTATTTGTATCTTCCAGTACCTAGCACAGCGTCTGGCAATGTTAAGTGTTTAATAAACATTTTTTGCTTGATTAATAGCATATACAGAACTGTGTAGTTGTTTAATAAACCAAGAAAAAAAGAACCAATCATTGAACTATTAGAATTACTAACTCACCCACTTGAAGTGCAGAATAGAATATGAGCATTCCATAAGCGTTCAGAATTTCATTGTAAACTCCTGAGAAACCAGAAGAGACCAGTCTTATTCTGCAAACTTTAAAGAAGGAGCAGAAACAAACAGAAAAAACCAGTCTTTTTTTTTATTATTGTGGTGCTTTCTCCAGTATTTTATTACTCAACGTGGATGAATAAATTTTAGTGTGAATTACAAAGTGCTTCGAATTTGTAAATCATAAAGACCCATAACAAAATAGAGAACACATTACTTCTGATAAGTGTGTGTGTGCCTGTTTGTGTATAGGTAACAAAATAGTTAATATTATCTGGAATTTAACATTAGGCTTTTCCCATCATATTTTTTACAGATGAATTTTCTGAAGATTGATTTTTTTTTTTTGGATAGTGAAGAGTCTTCATTCTCTAAAAACGTTGGGAGTGGTGTGGGAAAGATTGGATTATTTTGCATTAAAAAGCTGGCTTGTTAAATCACTATTTTACTCTAACAGGCACATTTTTACATTATCACTTAAATAGTAAAACTGTCTGTTGGCTTCATTAATTTGCTTGGTACGTGGTTTGAAACTTTGAGAAAGTACATTCCAAAAGCATAGCCAAGTTGGCTCCAGTTCATGCACAACAGATTGCCTGCTGCAAGTAAAAATAATCATTTTTTATTAAACAATTTTAGTGTTTTTCTTTATATATTTGAGAAACAATTGAAAATAAAAGCCATGCATATTGTCTAAGACATTTTTCCCTTTTAGTTTGTGTTTACTTTAGAGCATTCTTCAAGTACCTTTGACTACACTTTTCCTTAGGAACCTGACTTTTGATAAAACATTCTTACTATTTTCTCTAGTCCAGGATTTTACAAAATACAATTATAAAAATAATCTGTGCCAGCCCTCTTTTAATTTAATTTTATATTATAGAACCAGATTCCACATAGAGGCTTTTGTCCAAAGGAATAATTTGTTTCTAAGAACCCAGAGTGCCAGCTAAACTGGAATGCTAACAAAACTGCTTTTTTAATAGAAAAAAAGGAATTTTTTTTTTACCACACAAAAGATCTTTATATAATATACATATATTAAACACATTTATAGTAACTGTCTGGAGGCTTACAGTAATCTAGGTCCTTTGTATATAGGCTGTTAGACCATAAAAATAAGGCTATATTTTAAACAAGAAAATGTTCGTGTGCCATAATATTTACACTAAGTTATATAACAGTTTTAGATTATGTCATTTGTTACACTACATAAACTCTTTTCTTTAGGCAGACTCTTTGTGTATATTATCTTTCAGTGATTGTATACTGTGGCATAGCGTTTCATTTGATATGATTTTAATTACTATTAGGTTGAACTTGAAAGAAAGTTGGAATCAGCAACTAAGTCTAAACTACATTACAAGCAGCAATGGAGTAGAGCTCTGAAAGAACTTGCAAGATTAAAGCAGGTATGTAGTTCATTGAACTTTGTTTTTATTTTAATGTTTGATTTTTCTATTTAGTTTTTTAGACTCATACATTTGGTATTATATTAGTTCTTGTCAAACTTTTAAATTCGAGAAAGTTTATTTTTAGGTATAGGAATTTTTTTTTCTTCTTTTAAAGTATAGCATACTACTTTTCTTTACTTGAAGCTAAAACCACTTGGCATTTCTATTTTTAACTGGTTAGCCATCTCTCTTTGCTCTCACCCATGGGATGCTGGGAACATGTCTTTGTGGCCATTCACCAAGTCATATTTTCTTCTTCCGCTTTTACTCATAACCAGATGCTGTTCATCGCCCCTTTTTCGGTGAGTTTCTTTTCCAGTGATAACATCAGAGCCTTTTTTTTATGTGGAAAAAATGAGAGTTATTAAATAATCAGTCTTCCATGTAAGATTATAACGTGTTTAATTCATAGGGACATAGGGCAATTCACTGGGATAGAGTAAAGGACATGAACAGGATTGTTCTGTAGTTGGGAAAAAGTAAAGTGTGAAAACCTCGTAGTTTTTCTTGGTTTGTTTTCTTTTGCTTTTCTTTCCTTCCTACTACTGAAAAACGGTGGCATGAAACAAAGAGCCTGCTAGCAGGGACATCTGTCAGAGGGATATTTGTGGGCTATTTACAATTATGAGACAAAATATCCAAACACAGATAGTGATGGAAAACTTTCAAAGGAACATAGAGGCAAAGTATATCCAGTGGAGTGGAGGGAGACCCTCAAACTATTAAGGTCAAATAAGGTACAAACAAGGTTCTTTATTTTGAGACTAATCTAGGTGATCTAAACATTTTAACATCTTAAAAGTTAGTCAGGATTCATTTTTATCCTAAGCTTGGCTTTTGTCCAATGTCTGTATTTTTGTTCTGGCATATAAGCTATTTTGTTTTTTTTCCCCCCTAATCTTTCTTCATGATCATCAAATGGTGTTTAACATGTACATGTTATGCTGTATTAAGTATGATTAAAGACTTGTCAACTAACGTTTACAAAGTACCACGATAGGGAGCTGTTTAAAAAAAAAAAGCTAAACTGCCTTCAAGGAGCCTACTATTTAGATGGGAAAATTAATAAAATAGTATCAGCTGACTACATAAGTGCTGAAGGGACTGATGGCACAAGAGAGAAGAGTCTTAAGTAGTAATCAGCCTGTGTTGCAAGAATTGAGAAACGAAGTTAAAGAAGCATTTTCTGATAGTCTTAGATGCTATACTGAGAAATATAGCTTTGATATATATTATATATAAACATATATATATATTATATATATTAGCTTTGATACAGTAGAGAGCCATTGTGAGTTCTTTGTCTGGCACATAGTAGGTGCTTAATAAATGATTACTGACTGACAAGACAAAATAAGTTAATGGCATTCAGAGTAAATAGCCTATTCTTTTTCTTAATGAGAAAAAAACTTCATTGTTGGGATAGCACTCTTTTTAAAAAGTTTTTAAAAATTTTTTTAAATGTTTTTCAGTTTCAAATTCTCTTCCTCATTCTCACCCTCTCTCCTTCTTCCGCCTCCCATTGAGAAGGCAAGAAATGTGATATTTGGTATAGTATTCGTAAGTGTATGGTTATAAGTTGTTCAAAAAATATTAGTACAATCCAGTAGCTTTATAATTTTGAATTGTGAGGAATGAGTAGATGAAAAATGACCAGCTTTAAAGCTGTTGGATTGTTCTAGGCAAAAGTACTGAGGACCTGTACCAGGATATTTCTTGTTATGGCTATAGAAATTGAGAAGCACTTATGAAAAATTACAGATAAAGGGGCAGCTAGGTGGCGCAGTGGCTAGAGTATCACCCCTGGATGCAGAAGGACCTGAGTTCAAATCCGGCCTCAGACACATAATACTAGCTTTGTGACTCTGGGCAAGTCACTTAACCTCATTGCCTAGCCAAAAAAAAAGAAAAATTACAGTTAAAAAAAAAAACAAATCAGGACAAGGTTAACAGATAGTCAGGATGAATGAGAAAAGTTGAAATAACGTTGTTTGGAAGACTAAGGAACCAAGAGGATTTTAGTACAATAATAAAAGAAAGTTGGGAAGTGTGTGATTTGGGAGCAAAAAGATCCACTTTCTCTTAGTTATACTAATTTCAAGAAATGTCCTATATTCAACTGCAGCTAAGAAACTGGAAAGAATAAAGTTATAGATTTGAGAACTATCAGTGAACAGTATGGACTGTGAGAATAAGTAAATTTAATGAGAGGTTGAGTAAAAAATGTGAATTATAAGGTGATGCGCACCTACAGGTGGTAATAGAAGAAGAACAGAAAAAGAATGACTGGAAAGATAAGAGGAAACCTGGATAGTTATAGTGTTGTAGAAACCAAGGTGGAAGAAATCTAGAAAGGGGAAGGGGAATAGACGAGGTGTTTCAGATGTAACTATGATAGTAAGGAGAAAACTGAGAAAAGACCCTATTATTGAATTTGTCCAAGAGGAAGTCATGGTAATAATTTCAAGGAAATAGTAAACATGAAAGTCAGATTGTGTTATTAAGAAAAGCATAGGTAGTAAGGAAATGGAGACAGTGAGTGTAGACCACCTATTCAAAAAGCTGAGTAATGTTATGCAGACCAGTTTGATTACCAGATCTCTTAATAGGGCAATTCACAGAAGTAAATTGTGCTTCTGTGCTATTGATTATAATGGTAAGGGAGTAAAAAATGGCTATTAATATAAAGGAACAGTTTTGATCAGTTTGGTTAGGATAGACTTTATAGGATTATAAGTCACCTTTGTCCAACCAACCTCTTCCATTTTATAGATGAAGAAACTGAGGCCCCAGAGAAGGTAGGTGTCTTGCCTGAGTTCACACATAAGGGCCCAGGTCTTCTGACTCTAACTCAAGCATTAATTCTGCTACATTGCCTCTCTTGTTAATATACTTTGAAGAAATGTGCAGTAATGTTACTTTACTTATAAGCAATAATTTAGTGGCAATTAAAATCATGGAAAAAAATTTCACCTTTTGAGTAGCATTCATAACTGTATATGTATAAATTGCTAAAAAAATTTTTAACATAGCTTTAGAATTTAAGACATGAGAAAGTAAAATAATTATGCTCTTTTAAAAAATCTGAAAAATTCATAACTGTTTAACAGTCTGTTCTCTACCATTTTGTACTGAAACTTTAGTGTTAGATCACAGCTTGAGAAGCACATCTCTAGGAAAAGGGTAAAGAAACTCAGTGAATTGTACCAGTGCTTAACAAATTGTGATGTTGTATAGGTGAAAGTTTAAGTTTGGACTTGGACAGGCTGTCACTTTTCATTGGTGTGAAAATCACTTCAGAATTTTTCCAAAAACTCTTGATTAAAAACACATTTGTTGTGGATTGAATATAAAATTGGAATTCTTGATCTGTTTTTGTTCAGAGGATAGTTTGTACAGTTTCTTGTTTAAATTGGATTAGTACCATGTTAATTTTGCATTGCCTCTGGTGAATAGCCACGGGGATGTAATCCATGCCAGTAATTTGTCACACCAAAGCCCTCTGGAGGACCATACAAAACATTTGTATCGTGCGGATTAGACGTTGAAAGCCCTATCGTAGATGGTTAATAAATGTTAATGACAAAACCCAGCTGGCAAGTTGTAGAAATGAGATCTAATACTTTATGCCCATTGCCAGAGAAATGTTTAAACAGAGCTTTCCATTACTCAAAGGTGACCTAGTACAGTCAATTTGTGAATTAAAAAAGCATAATCTACTAGCTAAGTATTTAGAAAAATTCTCTTTTCCTCTGCTTTGCCACCATAAAAGTCAGTTTCCAAATTATAAGATTTCTTTGTTCTTTGTTAGCTTAAGTTAAACTACAGCTATGACAGTATAAAAATAAGTGAAACACAAAATGTTTTCTCTTTGAAATTAAATAAAGGATATTGAGACATTCTGTTTGTTATCATGGGGTGAAGTGTAACACTGGTTATTAAAATGGCATACATTGTTGAAAATTTCAGAGGTAATTTAGTTTTTTTTACCGACCCCCCCATGTAGTAGATTACGTAGAAATAGTTTTGATGTGTTGTCACTTTTTTTTAATCAAAATTAATTTATTAAGAAAATAAGCAAGGAATGTTCCCAGTGCCTTCTATTCTGTGATGGGGTATGTATGTTACTTCTTAAGTGCACTGAACAGTCTTTTAGATATCTAAAAGAGTTGTGGGTGCCCTTTAGAATCTTAATAACCTACCTATATGTGAAGAAGGGGCAACTGTGCTTTTTTTAAAAAAAAAAGTGAAAGAGATTAGTTTTACCTCTCTAATGTAGAAAATGTAATATTTTCATTATATATGTATGTAAGTATTTTCTGAGAAAGGAAACAGTCCTGAAATTTTTTCATGTAAGTTCTTTGCTATATATGTTTACTATAGATCTGTTTAAAAACAAGCTGATATATTAAATTTAAAAAAACACAGACTTCATTGGCTGACATGGGTGCTATCTTGTCCAGTCTCTTGCTTATCCACTGAGAGTAATTAATTTGATTAATTTATAAGTAATTTAGCCAAGGATGGATATAAATCTTTGTTAAAAAAATAAAAAACGATTAGAAGGCCAAGTCTTGGTTAAAAACTGTGTCTTGAAACCATCCAGGCCCTCCTACTGACTTGTCAGCTCTGGGTTATTTTCAGAAAACTTGACTTGAGTTCCTTAGCTTCAGTTATAAGTTTTTCCCACAGACTTGCTTGGTATCTGTGAGTAGGAGAGTGAGTAGTGGCCACTTTTTAGCTATTGTTTAGTCTAGTATATATGTATGTTTACATCTTCCTTCCAGATTTATAGGCGGCAATGGTAAAATAAAGATTGTGCTCTCTTGATGGAAGAGCTTTTTACCCAGAACACCTGGCAGCAGGGAAGATTTCTTTTGCTAGTTCTTAATTTTATTTTCTCTTTAAATGTTACATTAGTAAGAAATTTTAATTATTCCCAATAAGTTTTGGAGAAAGGTGAAAATTCTTTAATTTTTAGGAAATTATTTTAAAGTTAAGTAATTCAGTTTGGGTTAGGTAAGAATCCTCAACCAATGACAAAATAAATTTCTCAAGGATTAATAGAATTTATTACTAAGAACCAAACTAATCGTTCAATTCATTAAGTATTTATTATCTGCCATTTACATATTGCCAATGAGATGCATCTAGGAAGTAGGCAATACAACAGAAAATATCTAATTTTACTGTGGTTTCTTTGTTTTCAGTTATGGGTTTGTAGAAAGGCAGAGCAATTTTACCTGTAATTTTTTTTTGTAGTAGCAAAGTGCAGCTATTGTTAAGATCTCCCCCCCCACCTTTTCCCCATATAACTGTATTCATACATTAGTATAATACACATTTTTACTTCTTATCATTATGAAAAGCATGAATTACTAACATTGGTAAGTCTACCTTTCATAAACCACTTGAAGAATAATTTCACTTTCAACAAACTTGTTAACTTGGGAATTTCTAAAGTTAAGAAAGAACAACGGATTTTGATTTTGACATAGGTCATTTCAACACCGGTAAAACAAAGCTTGTTACAAAAAAGTTGTATTGAGATTAAAGTGGTAACATGGTAGAGTAGGAAGAACTGAGCTTGCAATCAGAAGATGTCAGACAGAATCCCAGCCTTGGCACTTTTTAGCTGTGTGATGTTGCCCCTCGGTGCCTTTGTCCTAAATACATAAAATGAGAATAGAAATATTTATCCATTTCACAGAGTTGTGAGGAAACTGAACTATAAAGTGCTTTAGAATATTTATGATTTTAATATAGAAAACATAAATTGAGTCATTTTTATTATATACACACTTATGCAGAACTCTGCAGTTCTCTCAAAATATAAAACTATAATGTCTTTTCCAAACAACATGTTAAAATTTCCATTTTTTAGTTTAGTTTTGATTTTTGGTCTACTTAAGGAAGATACTAAAAATGTAACTTCATGGTCAACTTAGGTAAACCGTGATGCCGCTGTAAAATTTCACTTCAGAAACCTTGATTTCATAGGTATCCTTTTACTATTTTAGATGTTCCTTTAATAGATGGTCTTGGTGACTGACTTTAGTTGAAGAATTTCATATCACAGTCATATATTTTACCATCTTCCTAAGGAATTTTTAAAAAAATTTTACAACAGAACGGGTAAATCAGTTAACAGGAAGCACGAATGTGATCCCATAATCCAGTTTGTCCCAGTGGCAATTTTTTAGATGCTGAAGTGTATGAAATAAATCAGTATATGAGAATAGAAATAGAAAAATGTTAAAGAACAATACTAACCATATAATAGGATGTGTGGACTTAAATGTATTTACTCCTTTTTTAATCCCACATCCCTCTACCTGTAGCTATCATAGTAAAAAGGAAATTAATTACTTTTTTTAAATCTATAGGAGACCCCAATAAACATTTATAAGAATTTTCTCTGTGCTAGGCTCTATGCTAAGCACTGGGAATGCAATGAAAAGCACAAACTGCTCTAGCCTTTGAGGGGAATCCTGCGATCCCATGAATGAGGATTTGAGGGTGACATGTAGGTTTCGAGCATGTGTTACTAGGAGGATAGTGGTGCTCTTGACATTAATAAATGTTAGTAAAGTAAAGTTAGAAAGAGGGGAGAGCTTTAGGGGAATGATAATAAGTTCAGTTTTGGATGTGTTGAGACTCCAGTATTAGGTTTATATCTCAAAGAGGTCATTGATACTGAAATCAAGAAGCATTTAAGTTCCAGGCACTATGCTAAGCTTTAGGGATACAAAGAAAGACATTCACAATCTAATTGGAAAGAGAACATCCAAACAACTATGTACAAATATGATATATAAAGGATAAGACAGAAAGAACCTCAGGGGGAAGGCACTGGTGTTAAGGGGGACCAGGAAAGGCATGCAGAGAAGACAAGAGATGGATGTGAGGAAGAAAAGAATTACAGGCATGGGGAACAGCCAGCGAAAATGTAGCAGGTTGAGAGATGGCCATGTCTGAGGACAGCGAGGAAGCCACTGTCCTTGGGTAGCAGAGAACATGGAGGGGAGTCAGGTTCTAAGAAGACTAGAAAGATAGGAAGGAGCCAGGTTGTGAGAGCTGCTTTAAAGGCTCAAAAATAGGCTTTTGTATTTGATCCTGAAGTTAACAGGGAGCCTCTGGAGTTTATGAACTGGAGGAGAGAGAAAAGGAAACATGAGTAACCTGCTCCACCTGTGTGCTTTAGAAAAGTCACTTTGACAGGTGAGTGAATGTAACATGTATTGAAGAGGGGAGAGACTTGAAGCAGAAAGCTATTGTAGATTAGAGGTGTGAAAGCCTGAACTAGGGTGATGTTTATGTAGGAGAAATAAGGGAAACTAGAGGAGAGATATGAAGGTAGAATGAGAAGACTTGGCACCAAATTGGATAAATGGTGTGAGCGAGAGCATGGAGTTGAGGATGACCCTGAGGTTGTGCACTTAGTAGATGAAGATATCTTCACAGTAATAGGTAAGTTTGAAAGAAAGTAAGTTTGGGAGGAAATCTAAGTTCTTTTTTAAAACATATTGAGTTTGAGATGCCTGTTGAATTTGAGATATAAAAAAATTTTTGATACAGGATAAACTCAGGAGAGAGGTGAAATCTGGATATATAGATCTAGGAATTCATCTGCAAAAAGATAATAATTAAATCCAGGTTAGCTGATGAGATTACCAAGTGAGACAACATAGCATGAAAAGAGAAGAGTCAGGAAGTCTTCAAAGTAGGGATAAAAATGCTCAAAAACAAAATTTATGATCCTGATTTTTCTGTGAATGAACTTTCAAGTAATTTCAGACTTTGTTGTATTGAAGAAGGGTAGCATCTGTAGATAGATTTAAATGTGGAATTATGAGATTCTTACTGAATTTAACTCTTAGAAATTCAGTTCAATCATTAAGTATTTATGAGTACTGAGTGAGTAAATTTGCTTTCTTTTGCATTAGGTGATGTAGACAATACTGCTGATGTTGCTTTTTATTGTTTATCACATTCAGATACTGTCATTTCGTAGAATTGTATTTATGAAGATTATATTATAGCTTCTATAATAAGAACACATAAATGAACCTGCTATTACTCTGACTCATTTGAGTAAATACTCAAATAAATACGTGATTTCATCATCTCTGGAGTTGGTGCCAATGACACAGCCCATCCATGACTGCTCCCTCTATGCAGTTGTCATCCATGTTCTACCAAAAATTTGCCACAGTGGGCCTACCCGGTGCTGGAAGCCTTCCAAGAGCCAGTGGAACACTCCAGCTGACTACAGATAACCAATATGGAACTCATAACCTATCACAGAAATCCTGTTATAGTAGTCATCTATTTTTCTACTCAAAGAAATAACATTACATGTGGTTTGATCTTAAAGTCAGAGGGACATACTATTATTTGAATTGCAAAAAAAAAATTATAATTTCAAGTCAAAGACTAATTAAAATATGCTTATTCCTTAATATTAAGTATTTAATAATTTATTTTAGCGTGAGCAAGAGAGTCAAATGGCCCGTCTTAAAAAGCAACAGGAAGAGCTAGAACACATGAGATTACGTTATCTGGCAGCAGAAGAGAAGGACACAATGAAAACTGAGCGACAAGAACTATTAGATATAAGAAATGAACTCAACAGGTATGGTGTAATATTAACTCTTGAAATGAGAAACTGCTAATAAGGGATACTGTATGCTAAAGTAACTTTGAATTACATCAATTATAAGCAATTTAGATTGTAAGCAATTTTTAAAATGTCATATATGTCTCAACATTTGGGTGTTAATTGCTTCTTGACTGTTTTTAATGTTACCAAAGAAATAATAACTAAGAGTCATCATGCGTTCACTAACATATGTCAGATTAACTTTATTTCCTCTTTTAATGCGGTTACTAGTTAGGTAGCTAAGGGGATGCTATGGACATGATATATCTTAATTTAATGTAATAAAACACCTGATTATATTGTAGAAGACCAAGCTAAATAAATGTTTTAGATGGTAGTACAGTTAGATGGATTCAAAGCTAACTGGACACCCAAACCCAAAGAGTGATGATTAATAGGCAGGAAGATGTAAAGCTGGGTGAAAGTCGATGTGATGATGAACTTAGGGTAGACCACATAGTTTCTTGGCCCTGTCCTGTGAAATACTTTTCACAGTGACTTGGAAGAAAAGATAGAGGACTTGCTTGTCAAATTTGTAGCTAAAACAACTGAAAATGACAACAGAACCAAGATTTTAAAAGATCTCAATGCAGAATATTAGGTGAAACCAACAAGACGAAGTTTAATAGGATAAGTATAAATCATTCTTGTATTTAGATTTTTTAAAAAGTTATTTAAATCCTGTAGAAGGGAGACCTGATATTACAGCATTTCATGTGAAAAATAGCAATAGTAACCATAGCTGTAATACTACACAATACAGCTTTTTGTTTCTTCTTTAAATTGAGAATTCATTATTGGGCCTCATTTGTAATAATATAATGTCCATATCAAAGGAGAGTAATAGATTCTTCCCTGGTCAGACCACATGTAGAATATTGTGTCCATTTTTTGAGTATTATATTTTTAGAGTTGGCAAGTGTGTGTGCAGAGGAGAGCTACCAGTATAGGAAGAGTCAGGAAAACATACGTTAGTTGAGGGAGCTAGAGTTTTTTAGACTAAGAAAAAGTGAGTGGTGATGATAACTATCCCGAAGGATAGTATAATAATAATAATGATAGCTAACATTTTTATAGATCTTATTATGTGCCAGGCATTGCTAAACTCTTTACTCTTCAGTAAGTACTCTTTAGTATTTTACTAAATTTAGTATTTAGTAGATACTCTTTAGTATCTCATTTGATCCTTACAACAATCCTGGAAGGTAGGTGCTATTAGTATTCGCATTTTACAGATGAGGAAACTGAGGCAAACAGAGGTTAAGTGACTTGCCCAGGGTCACTCAGCTAGTAAGTTTTGAACTCAGGTTCTTTCTGACTCCAGGTCCAGTGCTGTACCCACTGTACCACCCAGCTGCTTGTTGTAGAAAGAGTGCTGGATTTTACAGTCAGGAGAACCTCTTGAGTCAGAGAATCCCAGATCTTTTGTTACCTGCATGACCTTGGGCAAGTCAGTTCTCAGTAGGCTTTGATTTCCTTATCTGTAAAGTGAAGGGGTTAAACTAGATAAGCCCCAAGGTCCTTTGTAGCTCAAAATCCTGGATCCTCTGACTGGTTATTCTGTGGAAAATATGAGACAGGTATGTTATGTTTTTTCCATTGGGCTGAGTTAGGACTGATAAGTAAGAGTAAGGTTACGAGCTGTCCAAAAATGAAATGGACTGAAAGCACTGAGATCTCTGTCATTAGAAGTCTTCAAGCAGAAAGTATGTAATTAATTTTGTTACTATCTCCTAGCGTCCCTCCCAACTTTTAAGGATTAATGATTGTAACATAAAGTTTGACTTACAAAAATAATGTAGTAGCAAGGTACTCTGTCAATTCAGTTGAACATATATATCAAATGCCTTTTGTATACACAGTACTGTGCTAGATGCCATGGATAAAAGATACGAAACAGAGCCTACTCTTGGGAAAGACAGGTATGAAAATACCTATTACAAGGAAAAGTGAGATCCAGGCGAAGTATGTCCTCCAAAAATTAGATAAGCCAAAGAGAGACCCTGACATTTCTTAACCTTTCCTTTTTTTCAGCCTTTGCTGACAGCTTGATTTAGCATGACTTGTTTTACTATCAAATAATTTGGAATGTGGTTTCTAGATACCAAAATAGAGAAGTGGTTTCCTATCAAAGTGGAATTTGTTTCTGTTTTATCAGGTTAAGGAAACAAGACTCAGAACAGTTCCAGAATTCCAGAGAGATTGCAAGTGGAAAAATGGAGAGCCCGGGTGGAAAAGCTTTTGAAGAAGATTTGGATGATTATCTGACTCGCTTAATAGAAGAAAGAGATACTTTGATGAGAACGGGTGTGTATAATCATGAGGATCGGATAATAAGTGAACTGGACCGTCAGATCAGAGAAGCTCTGGCCAAAAGCAGTACCAGTAATTAATAACATTTGGAAAAATCTTTGTTAAGACTTTGAATCTGAGTTCTAATTTCATTGTAAAACTCTGAAAGCAGGAAAATGTTTAAAACGCTGTTTTCTTTTTTTCACATCCATGAAAGGTTTTTTTGTTATTATATACTATTTATTTGGTTTTTATTTACTTTAAATCTATTCTACCTCTCCCACACTGGTTTTATTTGTAATTTCTTTTTATATACTCATTTACTAAGCAACTTTTCAGTGTTTCTCATAATCTATCATTTGATGGCTAACTTTCAAAATAGCTTTTCACTAAATTTGTCTAGGGAAAGATGACTGCAGTAATTCCCTGTGACGTAATTTTATACATTGAGCCAAAAAAATATATGTTGCACTTTATAAATGCTGTGTCCTGTTACATATATGTAAATATCTTAAAGTTGAGACTAATTGTAAATGTGATAAGTTTTATTTTAATTCTTTTTAGACAATATGTCTTTTTTTATCTGCAGATGTTGCAGATAATGTCTTTAAGCAAGAAGCAGTATGTTCAATTCAGAGAAGCCATGTTCAATAATAGGCAGCAAATAATAAATACCCAATCAGTCTGTTTGTTTTAATACAATTTAAAAGGTTTTTTTTTTGTTACAAGATCCATTGAACTCATGTTCACATTTTTGAAGTATTTTACTCTTAACCTTTTAGAAAAACATCTTGATATACTTGTTTTTTCCTTCTAGTCCCACAAACTAGATGGAATTGTTTTCTCTTAGAATTAGAGATAAACCCTTATTTCAGTAATAGTGACATACTAGTGCAAATCATTTTTTCCTCAGTGGAGAAACAGACATTTTAAAGGCTTCAGCTGAAAAAATAAATGAATGAAAATCGATACTAATTTTTCCCCCCCATTTTAGCCTTTTTTAAAAAAAAAGTAAATGAAAATACTTCATTCTACTTCTCTGTATTGCCAAGTCTGTAAAACTCCAAGTGTTTCTGTTGCTTTCTTCAGAGCCAAGCATTGTACCGATTCAGAACTCTTTTAAGTTTTAGTTTCCAGAACAACATTTTTCACCTCCATTAAACAATGTATTTTATCAGTGTACTCAAAATTTTTATAGCAAAGTTAATTATTTAGGTCAGTTTTATGAATTCCAAAATGGAGTAATTTGAAAATTTGACCCTTTGGGGAAGGATATCCTACTTACCAATAACCCCCATAAAGTCATTATAAGAGCATTTTGAAGATCAACCTAAATTTCTTTTTTTGGGTAGAGGTGTATAACTTCTGAAAAAGGATTATTACAATTTTTATTTTTTGGACAAAGTGCTAGTCACCTAAAAACAACATGACAGTAAGTAAATGTGAAAGTATGAAAATAATGAATAAGGGTATGGTGAATATATTAATCATAGGATTTTAAAATATTAATTATGGTTGCATATTTTCTCAGATTAATTTTGTGCCACTTGAATGGAATTGTAATCTTTTTTGTGTGTTTGAGTGAAAACTTGTTGCAAGTGTCATTATTTTCTTTCAGTTTCTCTGTGCTGAATGTGACAGTTTTCAAACATGAGGGGGCCTAAGAAAAAAAGGATATTCTAAAATGAGTGTGTGGTTTGCTTTGCCTGAGGGAAAGTGATGGGTTTTTTTTTTCTATGTAACTTAACAAATAAAAATCAAAATTTTATGCACTTTTGAATTCTTAAGTAGTATGTTTGTATAATTATGTGCCTTTTACTTCTAGATAGTGTGGCTGAAATGTTCTCGGTAAGTTTAGTTTTATGTCTTCTTTGTGTAGTTATTTTTGTGTTTCAAGTGCTTAGACTACAGATACTTTTACTTATAATGGTGAGAATCTAATATTTTAATATTTTTGTGGCCCTTTCAGCATCAGCCATTCTAAATGCAAATAAGTCTTCTCTGGAATTGTGTATTATGCCTTTAATTGTAAGAAAACAAGATAGTAACAATCTTTTTAAGTGCTTTTCATGAGAAGTAAGATTCATTTTTTTTTTAATTTGAACTGAAAATTAAAATTTGCTTTTTTGTTTTTTTTGTAACGGTTTTCCATTATTAAGTGCATTGGAAGGTGGGGGAGAAATATTTGCTTGTTCATCTATATGTTTAGTTTGTGAAATAAATATAGGTGAATAACAGTTTACCTGATATATAAAATGGCAAAATATAGTTAAGATGTTCATTGTATATTGCCTCTTGAAAGCAGTGATTGAGTGGTTCAAATGAAAAGCAGATAATTCCAGGGTGACATCCCTTAGTGGCCATGAACCTTCAGGATTGTTCTTTGAAAGATCCTTCTTTGAAGTAAATTTATGATATTTAATAAAAAGTAGATGTCACAGTGTTGGTGTCTTATCAAGCAACACTTTTCCAGCTATTTATCCTAAGGTATTTAAAAGTATCTAGGATAGGTGATTCAATAGTGCCTTGCCAAAGTGGCCTAATCACTGTTGTTAATCACTGTTATACTGAGATTACGGATTGAAATCTGCCTCATTGACATCATGTACAATTACAGCATCCTTTTCTAGGCACTGTGATGTAACCACCTCTACATAGGTGCACTAACACCATTGAAGTGTGTTAGTTCTTGGCATTTGTTTTAAAGGAAATAATATGCTTCAAGTTACATGCTAACTCACGCTTTCATGCTGAAATCTTACTGTATTGATAACTGTTTCTGCTTTTTGACTGTGGAAATGCATCTTTAGCCTACAAGTCAAGTGTTACAAAAAGATATTGTACTTCAAGTGATACAACATGATAGTAGTACTTTTCCTTCCAGGATCTAAGCATCATTTAAAGACCAGTTAAAATGAGTACTATTTAATTCTGATAACAAAAAGTAAATTGGATAATCTCTTAAAGGTTGATGTTTGTCTCTTAGAAAACTTTTATATGTGTTCTAATTTTTTTTGAGTGTTCTAATTTTAAGCATAGGAATTGGTCAGCTATATCCCAGGTAGTATTCATCCATTGCCTCATTTCAGAACTTGAATAAAATAATATAAATATAAAAAGAGATTTGTACAATGTTTGCAAATCATTTCAACAAGTCTTATTAAGCTTACTCTCTGTAAAGCAAGGTTCTAGGTACAGAGACAAGAACAGTTCTTGCCCTTAAGGAACTTATATTCTAACTAACCAAGCCTTCTCACCCTTAAAGACTACGCTATCACTGTAGTCTCTGCTTCTAATTAGTCAGTTCTGCCCAGAACCTCCATTTAAAGGAAGGTACCCAGGCCAGTCCTATTCACTCCTAAATTTTCTTCTTGGGCTCCACGTCTGACTGTCTAATATTTCTCCATCATAACTCAGCAACCTTCTCATCTTGGAAGATCACTCTGCCCCTGCAACCCCTTTTGTAAAATGGAGATTCCAGAAGGAACTGACTACTTACTAATCTTCTGCAAACTGGAGTGATTATGTGGAATCTACTGTGTTTTGATGATTGATGCTATCAGTGCAATGACATCTGAAAATAGGAATGATCTTTGTTGTCTGCAAAACCCAGCCTATCTCAATTCAATTCAGCAAGTGTTTGTTAAGCTCTTAGTATGTATGTTCCAAACACAGTGTTAGGCAGTAGGGATACAAAGATAAAAATTAAATATTCCAAGCCTTCAAGGAGCTTATATTCTACTGAGGAGAAACAATTTGTACACAGATAAATATATACAAATTAAATACAAAATAGTATAGAAAGGGCAGGAGAGCATCAACGAATTAGGAGGATTATAAAAGGCTTTACAGGATGCAGCATTTGACCTGGTCCTTGAAGTCAAATGGGAATTCCAGTCATTCAACAAGCTCTTATTAAGCACTTACTATGTATGAAAGCAGCTAGGTGGCTTAGTGGTTGGAATGCTGGGCCTATATTTTGAAAGACCTGAGTTCCAATGTGGCTTCAGACACTTAATAGATGCCTGAACCAGGGCAAGTCACTTAACCTCTATTTGCCTTAATTCCACTAGAAGAGGAAATGACAAACCACTCCAATATCTTTGCCAAGAACACCCTCTGGACAGTATGGCAAATGGGGTCACGGAGTAGGACATGACTGAACAACAACATGTGCCAGGCACTCTGCTAAGAATTATCTTAAGAAAGACAAAAACATTAGTCCCTGCCCTCAAAGAATGGGAAGATAACATGTAAATAGATGGATGCAAGATAAGCACTGAGTAGATGGATGATGAGAGGGGAAATCTGACAGCTGGAAGAAGTTACTAGGAAAAGCCTGCAGAAGATAATATTTTAGCTGAATCTTGAAAAAGATTCTAAGAGGCAGAAGTAAAGAGGGAGAACATTTCAGAAGTTGGAGACAGCAAAGGCATGGTAACAGTTGAATTATAGTGTTAGTGTACAAGGAACAGCAAGTAGGCCAGTGTAATTGTTTCCTAGAGTACGTGAAAGGGAGTAGAGTGTAAGACTGGAAAGGTAGAAAAGGGGCCACATGGTAACAAGATTTTAATGCTGAACATTGGCCTTCATATTTGGTACTAGATGTAGTAGGGAGCCACTGGAGTTGATTGATGGTGGGGGAGAGGTGTGTGACATGATTAGACCTACTCTTTAAGAAAATCACTTTGGCAGGTGTGTAGAAACTAGATTGTTTTTAGGAAGAGAATCTCTTAAACCCCTCTGAAGTACAAAACAGTCTCTATAAAAATTGTAGCTGGAAAGGGGCTTGAGATAGTTATTATGTAAACAACTATAAATTTTATTTTCACTACAGTTAAGTGTAGCTGTTGACCAGGTGAGAAGCAAAGAATGGGACTTCTGCTCAAATAGGAGGAAAAAATGAATAGACTTAGCTGGCAGTAAAACTGATGATTAGGGAAAAAATACTCTTGGAAAAATGGCTTCACACATATGTGATTATATTGGAGTGTGATCACACCACCACATAACTGTTTATTCTTCCTGTTTCACCATGAGGCAAGAGAGAGAACACAAGAAAGTCAAAGGCTACACAGCAGGGCACTTTTTATTGGACCAGGAAAGCTAGGAAAGCTAGCTAAGGCTGTTGTCATTAGCACTGTCAGCCTAAGCAGAATGAATAGATTGTGGGTACAATGAAAGTAGAGATTCTAGAATCACATCCAGCAC